TCCCGCGCGCGGCTCCAGGTGCGTCCCGCGTCCCGGCTGGTCACGCAGCAGAGGCGCGCGGCGTTCCTGCCGGTGGAGATCTGCGCGGCCTCGGGGGTTTGGCCGCGCACGGCCACGAAGAAGAGGAAGACGGTGCCCGTGCGCGCGTCGAGCACGGGGCAGGGGTTCATGGACCGGTGCTCCTCCAGGGCCGCGGCGCCCAGCACTCGGGCGGCGCCCCACTGCCGGGGGAGGGCAGCCTCAGTTTCCCGTCCGCACGGGGCCCCCCCGCCCCCGTCCCCTCTCACCTGCACGGAGCCCCCCGCCAGCGTGCCGCGCCTCTGCACCAGGCGGTGGGCGTGCGCGTCGTTGGGGCTGAGCCGCTGCTCCGCGAAGGCCAGCAGGGTGGGCCCGGGGCCCACGGGCAGCAGCGCGGGCACGCGGTAGGTCAGGCCACTCCTCTCGCTCCGGAAGAGCACGGTCCGCACGGGGACACGGGGGGTTCCCATGTTCTGTGAGCCGGGGGCCAGCGGGTCAGGGGCAGAGTTCAGGCAGCCGCCTCTCCCAGTCGGATGGGAGAGGGAGCTCCGTAGGCGCAACCACGCCCAGCTGCCTCCTTATACCCACCTCGGACCACCCTGCCCCGGGCTCCCTACCCACCCCTTCTTCATGTCCACTACGCCCCCAAATGTCTGGGCCCAGCCCCTTCCATCCTGTCAACACAGCCGACGGAGGGAGAGCAGGGAGTCTGACCCTATACACCCTTGTGCCTGGGAGAGATCAGAGCCTGCCCAGGAGGCCAGGGCAGCCACAATGAGCACCCAACGTTTTGGACAAGGGTGGTTCAGTGACCCCAAACAGGGGCCCCACAATCTCGGGAGCCAAGCCACACAAACACAGAGAGGCACAGAAACAGACACACTAGACGCAGAAAAAAGACAGACTTACACACAAAACAGACCCATGGCAGGTGCGCACACATTCACACAGACATGCACCTGGGGACAGCATATACACTCACGTTCCACACACAGGAGGAAGGCACCCTAGCTTCGGCCACCACCTTCTCAGACCTGCAGAGTCACCAGGGTCAGGTGATTCTGGGAAGTAACCAGGAGAGATGGACGGTCACCTGCTGAAACCAAGGTGGCCCCAGAAGGTCTGCAGAGAAGGGGCCCAAACTCCAGGCCCCAGAGGGATGTACATCTGCAGGGGCAGGTGACCTGCCACCCTGTCCCTCAGGCTCCTGAGGCTGGGGGGCCTGGGGAGGTCCAGCAGAGCCACCACCACCCACAGCATGCCCCTCAATAGCTCCCCCATGTGCCTAGGAGACCTAGGATCTGTGTAGGCCAGAGGGGCAGTGAGAGGGACCCCAAGGCAGCCAGAGAGGCCACCACCCCACGGTCCTGCCCCTGCCCATCCCGGCAGAGAGGAGCCAGTGTATTGAACTTGAAAGCAGTTGCCCCCACACAGTAAAGGGAGGAAGATGAGCACCCCCTGCATCTGAGCCCTCCCCTGGCTGAGCCCCCCCAACTGGTGCGCACACAGGAGAGGAGCCCTGCTGGGGGAGAGTGTGTGGGAGGCTGAGTGGGTTTCCTAGAGTGGAGAGCTAAGGTGGAGGAGCTGAGTGGAGGCAACATTCCAGGCACCAGGGGAGCCCTGGTAAGGGATCACCCAGTGATGCAGCAAGGGTTAGAGGCCCCTCCCCCACAGCCTTCCCCCACAGTCAGGCCTGTCTCCCACAGCCCCCCACACACACACACACCTGCCCCTGGTCCAGGGCCCCTGCCCAACACAGCCCAGTTCCCTAAACCTTGCTGGGCTCCCGCAGGGGTGACAGAGTGGGCCTGGGCAGCCTTTCTGGGGGCAGCCTACTCATGGACACATGGTCCTGAGGGGGGCTCAAGGGCAGGGCCTCAGTGGGGGTGAATTTGGAGCACACGTGGGGTTGGCAATCCAGATAGCCCTCGGCCAGGGGGCGTCTTTCTCTGATCTGTTGGCCTCAGGGAGGGGGAGAGATAAGCTGAGACCGGCAGTGGGGGGCCAGGGGCTGCAGACAGTAAGAAGAGGTGGTGCCTGGGCACTGAAGGGAGGAGGAGGGACTCAAGTGGAACCCCTGTGCACAGCACATTGGAGGTGACAGTTGGGATGCAGAGCAGGGTGACAGGAATGAACACACAGCAGGACAGAGGGCCCTAACTAGAGGTGCCTCACTCAGGCACACGGGAGGGTGTATCCCCTGCCTGAGGTCCCCAACACAGACACCTCAGCCTCCGGCAACCTTTGCCAAAACCACCTGCTCCTGGAACCACCTGCCCAGCAGACTCCCTGTCAAACCCCAGGTCTGCCATCCCACCGCAGCCTCCGGGGGTTCAGAGACCGCTTCCCATGTCCTAGAAGCCCTGCCCCCCCATCATGTGCATCCAAAGGGCGGCTGTGCCCAAGCAGGAAGCAGGTGTGGGTCCCACGTGTCCGTCGGGGAGTGAATGGACACAGCAGGACATTCTCTCCACTTGGCTCACTCCCCAGGGCCTGGGACCACCCCAAATGATGTCAGCAGAAACAGGGGGTACAGGCCCACATCCGGCCTGGGGACAGAGCAGCTGACATTTCTGCTTGCTGCACAGAGCAGGACAGGGCTGCCAGGTACTTGGAGCACCCTTGTCCAGACCAGAGCCCCAAAGTTCTGGGGAGGCCCCCATTGTAGGAGGAGGAACCAGACCTCCCAGGCAGGCGGCCCTACCCAATGTGGCCAGCTGAGCAGGTTCTGGGGCTTTGATTTGATCAGTTGGCTACATCTGAACATGAACTGGAGCCTGAACCTTTAAGTCTGGGTGCCCAACCACCCTCCCCAACAGGGGGTGGCACATCACAGAAGAGGAAGCTGAGGCCCAGAGAGGCCATGGGACCTCCAAGAGAACTTGGTCCCCTGACCCTGGACCCCGGGCAAGCCATTGGGCTTATTCTGCCTCTGCAGGGGCTTGCCCCAGACCTACCTGCAGCCTGTCCTGTCCAGGCTCCGCCCTGGAGCACTGGGGCCAGCCCAGGTCATCCGCTAGACACCCTCCCCCCTTTGGACGTTTGGACCTGTTACTGCTGGGCCAGCTCAGCCTGCTGAAATGCCGAATGTAAACAGCCAAGATCCTTTGCATAGAAATCAGGCAGAAAGACTGTGGCTCTGTCACCCCCGGTGAGGGCTCCAGTCTAACCTGTCTGCCCTGTGCTCTGTGTGGACAACAACTCAATTACAGACCCTTCTGCCTAGTGGAGCGTCACTCACAGGCCCTCTGGTCCTGCAGACTAGACACCCAGTCTGCATCCATCCCATCCTCTGAATCTGCCTCCAGGGCCCTTTGGTGCCACACCTGCACCCTGAGCCATTGGGGATCCATGCGCCCATGGCCCTCAGCCCAAAGAGGGGCAGCCAGAGAGGACCAGAGGAGTCGGGTCCTAGCCCTGGGTGGCTGGGAAGCAGGGAGGGGACTCACCGGGCACCGCAGGGAAGCAGCAGAGTGGGCTGTGGGGCGGCCACAGGACTGCCTGCCTGCCTGCCCTTCGGACACAGCGAGCTATGCAGAGACAAGGGCCCACTGTATGGGAGGGAGGCGGGAGCTGGCCTTGTCCCAGGGCTGCGTCAGGACCCAGGACCCTCCTTCCAGCTGTGCGGCTGTGGTGCAGTAGAGCAGTCAGGGGATGCAGAACGGTACCCAGGGTGGGGGCCACACAGGGCTCCTCTCTTCTGGATGACCTGCTCCACCCTAGGGTGCTGGGATCTGAGGGCACGGGGGCCACAGCTGCACCCAGGCCTCCTGCAGAGATACCTCAAACTACATGAAACTCTGTACCCTTCCATTGCCCACAGAATGTGGGTGGCCTCTTGGCCCTCACTGGGCTCCCATGTCTGTGCTCAGGACCCTGGCTCCAAGCAGGCAGGCCAGCATCCCACCCCCTCCCCAGCACCAGCCACCTCCCAGGGCTCCCTCCTGCCAACTGGCCCCATTCACCCTCATCTGCTCCCCACTGCTATCCCCACGGTGGCTTTGTGGGTGACTGCTACTTGGGTCACCACTGTCCAGGTGACCACTACCCAGTGACCACTGCCTAGGTGACTGCCAGCCCACTTACCTCTGCCCAGGCCAGGGCCTCAGGGGAGGTGCTGTCAGTGAAAGGGGCCCTCGGAGGGGCCAGCCTCCTTAGGCACACCCTGAGCCCAGCACCTCTCCTTTTCCTGCCCCTCCCTCCAACGTGAGGGAACTTCAGAGGGAGAAATGGGCTCTGGGAAAATTAAACCATCATATGATGTCCACACGGAGATGACAAACCTGCTGTGTCCCTTCAGGTCCTCAGCCACCAGCCACTCAACACCCAGCACAAGCACAGCCCCAGGAGGACTGTCCGCCCATCCTGCAGAGGCAGCTGGACCGGCACCCATCACCTCTGCCCACCTCCGTGAGCCCCAGGGCCATCCTTAGCCAGCCGCCGGTACCCAGACCAAAGCCCAGGGGTTTGATGTGAAAGGAGAGGGGAAGTTAACACACCTTTCACTCAGAGCCCCACCCAAGCCCATCTCCACCCCCTGTCCCCCAAGCCTAGGCCTGGTACAGTCTGATGGAGCCCAGGGGAAATGGGGCCTACAAGCCCCTGATCACCTGTGTGAAGCCCCCAAGTCCAGGCAGAGCCATCTAACCAGGGTGCTCCCCAGAGCCCCGGAAGGAGCCCAGGTGGCCCACACGCTGCTCAGGGTTTTGTTGTTCTAGTTGGAGCAGTTTCTTTAAACATGGAGATTCCACATAAAGACCTGTATTTTCAGCTTCTCTGAAAAAAATCAGAGGGTCTGCCTCCCGGGCCTCCCGCCCTCCCCCTGTTACGAGCACATGTCCTATGGCCGCCGGCAACCCCTCACCTGCTCCCAAAAGGAGGGTCAGGCAGAGTCTGCTCCCAGCTCTCACTGGCCTCACTCCCCTGCTGTGTCCCAAGGGATTCGGCTCTGCCTGTCCCCAGGTGAGGGTGGGCGGTCCCCAGCTCACCCTGGCTCCCTGCAGTTCCTCTTCCTCCCTGTCTCTATTCGGTTTTCTGGAGGTCACTTTTTCAGAGTTCAAATATATATTGTCTTTTATTTTCAAATTGGTTGCAATATATCCTCTAATATTTGGGGGGGGGTTGAGAGGACATTCATTAAAGCTGGGGACAATGAAACGAGGAAGGGCTTAGGGTAGAAGCAGCAACAGGAGAGAGACTAGTTGGGGCCACTTTAGCTCTCTAGGAACTTTACGGGAAATCCGTGAGCCAAGGCGGGGCGGCTGTCAGCTCAGGGGAACCTCAGAGGAAAGGGGCCTTGGAGACGGGTTCGGGGTTAGCCCAGGATGAGCTGCTGCTGCCCGTTGCTGCCCTGGTGGCAAGTCTCATGGGGACCCTTGGAGGGGCCTGCCGGTGGCCGAGGAAGAAGAGGGTAAGGCGTGGGCTCCCAGGAAGAAAAGCTCACACAGTTCTTTGTCTCAGGTGTTTTAAAGGCTGGGAGTTTAGGGGAGGATCTCTTTGTTTTTATTAAATTGAGAGAGAGAGGGGGAGGGAATTAGAGAAACGTGGATTTGTTGCTCCACCTACTCATGCACCATTGGTTGCTTCTTGTATGTGCCCTGGCCAGGAATCGAACCCACAACTTTGGCGTATTGAGACAATGCTCTAACCATCTGAGCTACCCGGCGAGGGCCTAGGAGAGGATTTCAATGGAATATTCATCAGATTTATGCTGATGCACCAAAATGAGATTTATTTCTTTAACTGCGTCCATCCTTGGGTGTGGCTGGTAAAGATTGTACTGATGATTTCTGCTCTCTCTGAGTCTAGTCTTTTAAGCTGTTTACCCTCTGGTCAGGAAGACGTGTAAACCATTTACTCTCAGGTGTCGTTAGTTACGGAAGATAGGATTTTGTGTTTTACTAGCTGGCTGTAAACTGCTTGGTCATTTAAATATTTGTCTCAGTTTTCCTGTTCTACTTTCCCTGGCTTACTTGCCTGTCTTAACTGGACCAGGGTTTTCCTGAAGAGCCAAAGTCACCTAGTGGTATTGCCGTGTAGAGTGTCCTCCTAACAGAAGCCATGGCACTAAAAAACCTTAAATGTTGCTTCAAAGGCAACTCTGTCGTTTACCCTGCTGTGTGGGTTAAAACACTTTAAAAAGGTTTGCCCCTATGTATGGTTGCAAACACACTCCTGTGTTTCCCCTTTACTTTCACACGACTCTCACCACACGTTTGTGTGGGTTCCGTTCACACCAAGCAGCTCCGCAGCAACAGCTGGGTGTCCTACAGTTCAGTTAATTCTGGCACTAACTGCAACTAGTGAGAACCCTCAGGGTGAGGCTCAGTTCCACAAGACTGCTCCCCACGTCAAGCTCCAGGCACAGTCAGTGGGTCCCCGGGTCTCCTCCGGTGTTGTTCTACTGAGCGAGGAAATAAAACATTTCCACCACATTTAAAGCTTTTCTCCAGGGTGAATTCTCCGGTGTTCAATGAGGTGAAATTATCAGCGACAGCATTTCCCACAATCACTACATTCACACGCTTTCTCCCACGTGAAGGCTCCTTTTGAATGAGAACAGCTTTGTCCCACATTCTCAACACTCATAACCCTCTCCTCCAGGGCAGGCACCCTGACATCGAGCACACTTATGGTTGTGGCTGGCAGCCAACTGGTGATGCCTTTTTCCACCATGAAAAACCTGCCTGCTCTCATTGCCACTGTTGGAGTGGCCTGGTGCTGGAGAAGGCCTGAGATGGCTGGAAAGTGCTCCCCAACCTTTCTACCGATGAAAGGTGCCCGATACATAGAAGCTGCACCTGGTCACAAACGAGGCCCTGACCATATCTCCCTTCCAGGGCTCCTCTCCACTGGCATCCCTCTGTTGCTGGTGAGGGTTTGCACAGGACAGAAGCCTCTCATGCATGCGTCACTGACAAAGGCTTTCTGCTCAAGGTTTGCTGCTCGGCCCTCAATCAGGTGCAAAATATATTTCAAGACAGAGGCACACTGCTCACAGGATGGGTCTTCTGGGTGGCTGGAGCTGTCCTAGAAACCCCAAATTGTGACTCCCCTTCTACAGACACACTCTGCTCATCTGTGTTATACCAACAGCCCACGACGCAACAGTGCAAAGATCTCCAGCATCACATCACAGTACAGACGTCTCTGAGCCTCATCAAGGAGCCCCCACCCCTCCTGGGAGAGGCAATGGCCACGTCCTCAAAATTCGTATCTTACAGTTCCCAGTGTCCAAGGGAGCTCCTGCCTGTTCTGATCCTTTGGGGGTTTCCCCTTCTTTGAAATGCTGATTCACCTGAAAAGTGCGGACACACCTACACACAGGAATACCCACAGCAAGTGCCCGGCACAGCTGCCAGAGTCTTCTGAACTGCGGGCCCTGAGGTGAAGGGAAGGGGTCCCCCAACACCAGGCAGGCAGGCCAGGCTGAGCATGTGAGAACAGCCCTGTTTTTCCAGTACTCCAGGCACCCCACTTTTTGAAGGGTGCAGGACATATGACACTGAGTGTGTGCACCCCACTCTAACCGCTGGGCCCCCAAGCAACCAGGGATCATGTCCTGCCAAGCAGGGCATCCTAAGTCCCTCCCCATGAACAACAAACAAGGGTACCTGCAGGCTGCCCTCTTCTGGAACTGCATTCAACTCGATCTATACGGCAGCCAAGGGTGAGCTCCTGTTGCAGGTGTTTTCCCTCACTGGACACTGGGGGTGGGGGTGGGGGGAGGTAATCCCAACTAGGGCTGCAGCACTGACCCTCCACCATTTATCTTGCAAGCAATCTGAACATTTCTCAACCTAAAACCATTCTTTGGTAGGAAATAAGCCTCCTACCACCAAAGATGGGAAGCTCAGCGTTCCAGACCCTTGCCCCCAATCCCAGCTCCCCGGTGCCAGCGCCATCTTCAAAACATTGCCCCTGGTGCTGTGCCAGCTTCTCAGCGACTAGCCTGTGTCCCCATGGCTGGTGGATGCAGGGGAGCCACTCCAGCTCCATCAGGAGCCCACAGCCACACCGCCCAGGCCCCTCCACATTCCCTGGGCTTGTCCTGCTGACCAGTGTTGAGTCCACAGGTGTTCTCTCCAGTGGGCATTGTGCTGACATGTAGTTAAATATTCCTCACGTCCCTGCCTTGTAAGACTTTTCCTATTTGATGAATGTATTCACATCCTCACACGCCATGTGCGCCTGTTGTCCTAGACTTGGGGCCCTCACCACGAGGGCAGATCACTGGTGAGTGTCTTTATAGATGCTCACCCAGAAGACCCGGGTCCAGCAGGGCTGGGTCTCCTGATGCCCCAGGAGCCCAAGTAGGAGCGTGAGGCCCAGGGCCTCCCAGGATGACGGCAAAGGGACTGGTGTCAAAAGGAAGGGCTACGCCTCCAGGAAGGGGATGTTCTTGGGGGGCTTTTCGGGGAACTGCAGGGTGTACAAGCGGGCCATGTACTGGAGCTCTGGCATGACCATCCTCTGACACATGCGCAGGGTCTCGTTGTCCAAGTCGGTCCTAAGGTTGTAGCCCAGGATGTCGGCCTCCCCCGACTGGAAGGGCTGCAGCCTGCGGTCAGTGATCTGCGTCTTGTTCTTGGGCGCGCTGTCCTGAAGGCACAGAGCTGTGAGCTCCTGCCGCCGCGCCCGCAGCTGGGCCACCTCTGAGTGCAGCCGCCCTTGGCCGAGCTGGGTGAGCAACGAGGCCCAGAAGGTGCGGTTGAAGTGCTGGTAGAGGAGCCAGTCCAGGGCACACCACCGCTTGGCGCGCTCCTGGCCTTCCGGCGTCAGGCTGGTGACGCTGTGCTGGCTGCGCGAGTTGAGCTTGAAGGAGACAACGTCGTCCAGCCGCCAGCGAAGCCGGTGCCTCAGCAGCACCATGGACTCGTCGAAGTGCTCAGCGATGAGCACCAGCTGGAAGCGCTGCTCCACCTCGGCCAGGCGCGCGCTGACGTAGCTCTCCTCCACCAGCGCGTTGGGGTCAAAGCCCAGGTCGAACCACATGTGGTTCCTGGCGTAGGCGTTGCTCAGGCCCAGGCTCTGGTTGTAGTAGGTGTGCGGGGCAGCGAGGAAGGCATCCAGGCTCGCCGCGGCCTTGAAGGCGGGTGCGGCCCTTCTGTAGTAGCTGAAGGAGGACTCCAGCTGGAACACGGGGTTTCTGAGGATAGTAAAGTAGAAAGTGTCGTTGGGCATCACTTTCTGCACCTGTGTGGAGATGGAATGAAGGCTGGTGACGCTCCTGGCTTCTTCCAGACACTCAGGGGGCAGGTGTCCTCTTCTCCCCCCAGCCCCCAGCCCACTGCACCCTACCCACCGACTCTCCCACTGGCTTCCCTGCACCCTGTCCATGCCACCTTGCTCCCCTGACTGCCACTTTCCACCAGTATCCAAAATGATCCTAAAACACCTGAACCTGGCCACTCCCTTCCCCCAAACTCTCTCCACTTCCTCCTCTCCCTCCTGGAAGGGAAGTCAGGGAAGCCTCCTCAGAGGAGGAGGTGACTTCTAAGCTGAGACCCAATGACCCACAGGAGGGGGTGTGAAGAGCATCACACCAAAGGAGATGGTATGTGCAAATGTCCTGGGGTGGGAAGACTGAGCAGTTTGGGAGCCAAGAGGAAGCTGGAGAAGGAGAGGGTGGCAGACTTGGGGCACCCACATCTGTTCCAAGAACAACCGCAGGCCCCTGGAAGTGGAGGGTGCGGGTGGCAGGATCTTCCGATGGACCGCTACCAGCCCCCTTCAGCCAGGTCCCTGTACACCCCCGCACAGCCTTAGTCTCTCCAGTGGCCAGGCCGTGACCCCTCCCTCCAGGGTCATTTCCCTAATGGTTGTATTTCCCTAATGACTAATGACTAATGATGTTGACTATCTTCTTTAGATAAATGTCTCAGTCATTTGCCCAGTTTTTAATTGGGGTGTTTCTTATTGTTGATTTGTAGAAGTTTTTTATAGATTCTGGATGTTGGTCCCTTTATCAGATAAATGATTTGCAAATAAAAATTTTAAAAAGCCACAAAGTAATCCGAGGCCTGGGGCTGAGCCCTGCCTCTCCATTACGCCCGATCACCCACCTGCAGAGGGCCCGCCCCCCTCACCTCTGTTGGGTTAAACCTCAGGTGGTTGCACATGATGTTGAATTGCCTGAATTGCTGCTGCGGGCCGTCCTGCTGTGCGCCCTCCACATAGCGGGTCTGGAAGAGCCAGGGGTAGCCCAGGTGGAAGCTCGAGCTGGCTGGCAGCGCCACGGACAGGTTGTGCGCCTCGGCGAAGCGGAAGAGCATGTTGAGCACCGTGCTGCTGGCGGTCTTGTGCGTCTTGAGGAACATGACGTTGGTGATGGGCGGCCCCTCAGCTTGGCCCCTGAGCAGGCTGGGTGGAGAGCATGCTGCCCTCAGTGAGGGACACCACCCCTCCCAACCGGAAACCCACTCAGAGAGCCCAACCCAGCAACCCCAACCTGCTCCCCTAACTGCATGACCCCCAGCCCAGCAACTCCCCAACCCACATTCCCCATAGTGGTGACACACCCCAACCCTATACCCCCAGCCCCATCACTGTGGTCCTCCTAACCTAGAGACACCCCCAACCCTGCAGCCCCCGAGGACCCACTGGCACAAAGAAGATTCTTCCTAAGTGGTTGCACCATCTGGCCCCCATGTACCACAGGCTGGGCCCCCAGGCCCGGGCACCCCTCTTGGCCTCCAACTTCTTGTCTAGCTCCCAGGGCACCTGGCATGGCTCTGGCCCTGTGGTATGGGCCACATGTCTAGCATTTCTTGGCTGACCCTTAGTATCAGGATGGGCTGACCTGACCACAGGGCCAGAGTGGAGGCTGGTGCCCACCCAGCTGTGGACTCCAGTCTGGAGCAGCAGGGCCCCAAAGCAGGGCCAGTAAGAGTGACCCAGGGTGGGGGTACAGGGTCTAGAACCTACACCGGCCCTGGGGACAGTGAGGAGGTGGGGTTGGCAAAGAGACCCGGGGACTTTGGCAACCCCCCATCTCCCATGGAGATCCAATCAGAGGGGTGGGGACAAAGGGAGGTGGCCTGGGGCCACAAAACCCTCCCAGCAGCCAGGCTAAAGTGCTGGGCCTGTGTGGCCATCCAGGTAGACCCTGGGCCTCACAGAGGACACACCACTGGCAGGCAAGTAGCAGGAGTCCTGATCTCTCCAGACCCACCATGGGCCCCAGCCCTGCCTCCCAGCACAAGGTCTCCCTCTGGACACAGCAGCTCTCCCCCCAAGACACCCCCAGCCCTGGCCCAGTCTCCACCCTCCCAGAGCCCTCCTCACTGCCCACAGGACTCACTGGGAGGACCTCAGGAAGCTAATGAGTCCCCAAAAGGAAGGGCCCACCCAACCAGGCAGTGTGACCCACCAGGTCACTGGCCAATGCTTGGAGGTAGGCAGGCTGGGGCCCTGCACTGGTCTGGGAGGGAGCACCTAATGCAGCACTCACGGTGTGAACATTTTGATGTCCACGTGCAGGAGGCCGGCCAGCAGGAACAGGATCAGGGTCAGGAGGAGGAGGCTCCAGAAGCACCTGTGGACAAGGGAACCAGTGAGCCCCCCAGTTAGGGGCACAGGAGGGACCAGTGCTGCCCAGCCCACCCACCTCCACTCAGCAACCTTCCAGGTAGCAGCTCCTACAGTGTGTGGCCTATGCTGGCCCTGGGTGGATGGATCATCAGACTCCACTGCCCCTCAGCCCCCCTGCCACACCACCCACTGCCCAAAGCCAGGAAAAGCCAAGAGGCATATCCATTCCCAGGAAAGTGGTCAGGAATCCGACAGATTGAGATGAGAGCAGGTCATGGGGTGCCCAGAGACTGGCCTGACTAAGACCCCTGAGCTCACACGCCAGAGGCACATCTGGGGTGGGGGCCGAAAGGAGGTATATCCTGACATCCCACTCCCGCAGAAGGGAGGAGCCCCACAAAAGGGGACACTTAGAGGGACTGCCTGGGTGCCAGGAGCTCAGCAGGTGGGGTTCAGGCAATGGTCCCTGGGCTGGGACACCCAAGGGAGACACTGACTAGATCAGGGAAGAGACAGGCTAAGACAGGGGTGCCCCATGGTATACGGCTGTTCCTCCCTGTCATTGGTGTTCTGATTGACACTTCTCGCGACCTCTTAGTCAACGTGCACAGAGCCTTTGTCCAGAGAGAATGTGTCCAGGGATTTGTCCTGCAGTCACCAAGTACCCCTGTATCTCGATACCCAACCTGCTCTACCCCCTGGAGTCCCAAGAGGTCACTGGTACCCAGTGGGCACAGGAAGACCATATGCCTCGCCGGAAGGCGCACACTGGAGAAGAGGGTTATGGCCCAGAGCCACATTAACCAGCAGGCTGTCCTGTCCCCACCCGCACAGCATCGGTGTCCTTCCCTGTCCTTCCCCACGGGCAGGTGGGGAAGCCTCCTGGAGGGCTGGAAGAGCCAAGACACATCCAGCAAAGCACGTCCGGTGGAAAGAATCAGGTCAGGACAGAGTGGCACCATTGTGGGGAGGGGCAAGCTCGAGTTGATGCCAGAGACCCTGAGGGTTTGCCCCAGGAAGGGAAATGAGGGGGTGTTGGTGGGAGCTGGAGAGACTGGACTTGGTTACATTGTTGCCTTTTCGTGGGAAATGCTGTCTCTGTGTGTCCAGGGTCTGTTTCTCTTGATAGCCAGATTGTCTTTTGTTACATAGGTCCTGTGCCTCTCCTTGTATTTATTTTGATTTGCTAGTTTTTGTTGCCCTTGTAAATGAAATATTTATCCAAGTTCCAGTTCTATCACTAGAACAGAAAAACATTTTTTAATGTACACTATATCCAGTCACTTTACCAGGCCACCTGTCACCTTTTATTTTAGAATCTGATGCCTCTGTCTTGGTGGCGCCCTTGCTGCCTGGTATGACAAGGTGTTCCGGGCTTGTCTTGTTCACTCCCTAGCCCCGGCCTGGACCAGCCACGTCTTCTAGAAGCCCTGAGTCCTGTTGGTAGGGACCATGATCGGTGGCGGGGGGTGCTCACTGCTCTGGGTCCTCTCGGTCACAGAGCTGAGAACTACACACACCAAGGCAGAGTCCTGCATGATTTGCACCCACATATCCAGCTCTAATTCAAGACTGTGGCTTTTAAAAAAAGAACTTGAAATTTTATTTTTCAATTACAGTTTACAGTCAATATTGTTCTGTATTAGTTTCAGGTGTACAGCATAGTGATTAGACAATCATATACTTTACAAAGTGGTCCCCCTGATAGCTACAGTACCCGCCTGGCACCATACACAGTTAGCACAATATTATTCCCTGTGCTGGACTTTACATTCTGTGACTATTTTGTAACTGCCAATTTTTAAAAAGCCTAACCTGAGGATATGTTTTTTTAATTGATTTTAGAGACAGAGGAAGGGAGAGAAAGAGAAACATTGATGCGAGAAAGCAACATCAACCAGTAGCCTCCCTACCCACTTATCTGGGGATCAAACCCGAACCCTAGGTACGTGCCCTGACGAGAAATCAAACCGTCAACCTTTTGGTATACAGGACCAGGCTCCAACTAAATGGGCCGCCCAGCCAGGGCATAACTGCCAATTTATATTTCTGAATGCCTTCACTTTTTCACCCAAGACTGTGGTCTCAAAGACACAGGGGTGTAGACGCAGAGCACCCAATAATTATCCCTGCCTCATCCACACTGAGCACACTGGGACACCACACACACTGTAGACACTGCACACACTGTGGACAGTATGCACACAAAGCACACGCGCTGCACACACTGTGGACACTGCACACACAATAATATGGACACTCGATACGCTTTTCCTCCCTCACCTCAGCCTTGTTCTCCAAGTAATTCCCTCCCCAACTCCCCCCCACCGTCCTTATGACAAGTGGGAATAGCTGGTCCTTAATAAGCAATGGAACAGCAGTGGGTGGGGCCCAAGTCAGCTGGCAGCAGTGACCTGTGGGCAGTAGCACAGGGACCCCTTGAGGTGCAGAAGTGAACAGAAGGAGCAGGTGGGGGGCTGCGGAGAAGAGGAGCCCCAATAAGGTGTACAGGTCTGGGGGCCCAGTAGCCTGTGCCAGGCTGAGAAGGGACAAGTTTCTAAACCCCAAAGGGTTGCCCTTCTGGAAGGTCACACTGTGGCCACAGGGTCATGCATAGGGTCACAGGGTTTCTGTGCTAGTCATTTCCACTGAACCCAGGAGACCCTCCCAGGGAAGCGCTGTGCTGTCCCCTGGTGCCTGAGCGCCTCGGAGCCGCATGGTCTACGGCCCTGCTGGGACGTTCGCCAGGCTGGTCCCTTCTGATCCCACCCGGGCGTCACTTTGTTCCACCATAAAACTCCCTCCCACAAACACTGCAGGTTTCCGGGTTTCCTGGCTCCTTGCAGAGGAGTTTAATAAGATTCTGCCCACACTGACCATCTGTTTGAAACTTGCAATAACCCCTTTGGCCTTGAGGCAGCACGAATATGTCTCAGTTCTTCGCAGCTGCCCAGTGAGAACCATAAACTCTGCCAGAGAACCCCCCCCGTTTCTAAAGAGGCTCTTCCTTTACCAAAAGACCCCTGGTCCCAATGCCCGCCCATGGGATAAGTAGGGCCACAGAGGCTGGAGCAACTGGGGAACATGGCAGCTGTGTGGGGACCGGTGGTCAGCCCAGAGGAGCCTGTGTGCTTGACCAACCCTCAGGGCCGAGGAAGGGAGTCCCTCTCAGGCCTGTCCTGATACCGGGAGTTACTCACAGACGGTCAGTATTGAACAAGAGCCTAGGGGTTGCACAACGTTAAATGGATGAATTGTTTGGTATGTGAATTACATGTCAATAAAGCTGTTTAAAAAAGTAAATTTTTAAAATATTCTAAATTACTTCAGCTGCTAAAAAATTTGAAAGCCAATAATTGTGCTTCCAAGTGCTTTCAGCTGGAAGGGGCCACCTCAAACCCCAAGAACCTCGCCACTCAAACTGACACTTCTCTGTGGCACCCCCTTCCCTTTGGGAGGTGGCCTGCATCCTCAGGAGCCTCAAACTCCCTGCCTTTGGAACCGAGAACCGGATGTGGCGTTGGTCCAGTTCCACTGGGAGCCAGGAGTAAGTGTAAGGCCCCCAGGCCCAGGCCCCAGTGAGCCGCAGGCTGACAGGTGAGTGTACCCAGGGTGCGTCCACTCCCAGGTCATTCAGGAAGAATTGCTGGGCATCTGATTGATACCAACCAGTAAAATATATAAAGCTGAGAGCAATAAAGTCAAGACAGCCAGCTTCTGAGCAAGGTTCACAGTGGTTTTATACCCAGGATTCCACATACCCCTGCGGGCCCATCAGACCAGCTCCGTAGGGCTGAAAAAGGGCATAGAACCAAGTGTCTGACCATCATTCAGTGGTCAGTCAATTTTAGCTGGAATCTAGAAAAACAGCTGCCTAAACTCTGGAGCTTACAAGTCACCCCCCAAAATCCAGCACCACAGGTAGAAGGATCCAGGAGGCCCCAGGCCACACCTGGTCACCTGCCCCACCCTCTCTCAGCAGCCTCTCTCGGAAGCAGAATGGACGGGAAAGGGCTACTGCCCTCCCCCCACCACACACACAATGGTCAATCGTTATAAAGCTCTCCATCTATCCTCTGGTCTCTGGACCCAACCACAGGCTTTCTTAGAACAAATTCTTCCTCTGCTGATCCAGGGCCCCCACCTAGGGCTCATGCGTAGGATCTGACATCATCAGCTAAAGCCGCCCCCCCCCCCC